AAGCAAATGATGAGAGTAAAACCAGACAGAAGACTCTATACCAGTATCATTCATGAACATATATGCAAAAATTCTTAACAAAATTTTAGCAAATCAAATCCAGCAATGTATAGAAAGTGCCACGTTAGTGGCATTAACCCTGAAAATACTGGAGAGAGCTTCCTGGAGAAGGTGACTTCTGGGCAGAACCCTGACAGACAAGCAGAATTTCAATAGGGAGTGATGTTGGGGAAAAGAAAATGGCAGGAAAAACCACCAGTGAAAAAGAAGCTAGACTCTCCAGGAACAGGTAGGTGTGTTGACACTGACTAGGGTTGTTGTCAGGCTTCCAAAGGAGCTCTGTTCTAGGGAACAGTCCACACACAGGGCTGAGCCCTCAGGACCAAGTCTGTACTTTTCCAGAGTTAGACATCACCAAGCTGGAATCCTACCCAAGAATTTGAAACTGAAATAGAGACAGACTCCCAGCCTTGGGTTTACTGGGACCAGATCGGAGCCATTGAGGGAAGGCCAAGGTACCCAGAGTTGGTTGGTCCCTGGATCTGGTCAGCTAAAAGTCCTGCTCTAGGCTTTTTAGTAACCTCTCAGATCCTGTGGGCTGCCCCAGAGGCCTTCCTACAATAGGCTTTCTCTTTAGCTTCAGGGAATGAACAGCACTTTCTGTTGCTTGGCACCAAAAGAACACTGAAGTCTTCAGTGGGTACCACGACAGCTGCCACAGGTTTATTTCTATAAAAGGGTTCTATAACTGCATAAAAATTTGGAGACCCCTGGAAGAGAGCAAAGGGTCCATGAAGGGAAGTCGTAGGAATGAGAGCACGTTGGAAAGGTGGTGGATACCCCAAATGACAGGCACAAGAGGGTGGAGGTCGGAGCAGAGAAGGAGACTAATGGTTTCTGAACCAGGAAGGTGGGGTCAAAGCAGTCTTAACTGCAAAGGGTTTCTGGCAGTGCCACAGAGGACAGATTATAAATGGCAGTATGCTTGACCCTTCTAGGATGCTGGTGGCTAGTCCTACCCTAGGATAATGACCACTGGAATACCATGCCCCATGCCTTGGCTCTCACCTCCACACCTGGCTCAGAGCCAGATACTGGGTAGGTGCTCAGTTGAAGTCTGCTGATGAGCTAGGCTGAAAAGGGACTGAGGACATCTGATGAGTAAAGAGCACAGGACTGAAAGAGCTGACGGTCATACCAGTTTCAAGCTTGGTTGGCAAGTTCAACTGAAGAGAATGGCAGGAAGGGTATATCTATAGGCTAGGAGTGCAGTATTTCAAGATGTTGCTGAAACAAAGAAGGGGGAGTTAAAGCTGAAGAGTTGGAATGAGGAGGGCGCAGAGGTGGGACCTGGGCAGTGGTAGGCAATGCACAGGTAGGGGTTGGTAGGCCCCATGGAGTTCATTTTACTACCACAATAGAGGATCCCTGTGTCCCAGGCATCAAGCCAAGTGCTAGAGGTGATTACAGAAGCCATGGGAGATAATAAGACTGCGGAGGATCTGACGATGTCAGCAGGATCTGGAGCCAGCCATGTTTCTTTGAAAAGGCTCAAGCTGTGGAGTTGGGGTATAGCTTAGTACTATAGCACTTGCCAGGCATGTGTGGGGCTGGGCTTGATCCCCTATACTGAGGGAGGGGAAAAAAGGGAAAAAGAAACACGTCTCAGGCTGGGTCTTCAGACATGCTATGAGCACAACGGTAGATACCTGAGCAGAGGGTCATGGCTGGCCCCTCCACAAGAGGACACACCTGGAAACAGTCTCAGTGCCATTTGCTAAGAGCATATTAGAACAAATGGTGGCACAGACACATGATCAAAGCAAATCAGGCACCTCCACAAGGATGCGAAGCAACGTGCTGGTATGTGACAATATGAGAGGGGCACAAGAGACAGCACGACAGATTTATGGCTGAGGGAGTAGTCACAGCAATAAATTCACGTGTACTCCTACTTGGGTTTTCACAGCTATCTTTGAAAAGACACAGAAGAAACGGGTAGAATGAGCTGCCTTTGAGGAGGAGAGCTGAAGGCTGAAGGTATGGGAGAGACTTTTATTACGATATTCATTTGCCACCAGTAGACTTAGTTTTCACAATTAATGATTAAGAATAGGAGGAGGTGGTGGGGCCCACATCCAAAAGAAGGGTCTCATTTCGGGCTAGTGCCGCAGCTTCTGAGAACCCGGAAGTCCGGGCCAATTGCTGAATGAGGGGAGCCAGGCCCTCTCTGCCACAGTCCCCCGCACTCTCTGCCCAGACCCAGGCCCCACCATGTCCTTCTTCTGGTGGAAAGTGAAAGGCAAAGAAGAGAAGACTTCAGATGTCAAGTCCATTAAAGCTTCAATAGCTGTACATTCCCCACAAAAATGACTAAAAATCATGCCTTGCTGGAGGCTGCAGGACCAAGTCATGTTGCAATCAATGCCAATTCTGCCAACATGGACTCCTTTTCAAGCAGCAGGACAGCAACACTTAAGAAGCAGCCAAGCCACATGGAGGCCGCTCACTTTGGGGACCTGGGCAGGTCTTGTCTGGACTACCAGACTCAAGAGACCAAATCAAGTCTTTCAAAAACCTTTGAACAAGTCTTGCATGACACTGTTGTCCTCCCATATTTCATTCAATTCATGGAACTTCAAAGAATGGAACATTTGGTTAAATTTTAGTTAGAGGCTGCGAGTTTTCACTCTACAAATTTGGTCCCAAATAAGAGCACACAGTCTGAATACAGTGAAGCAGAGCTCACTGGCTGAGCCTGTCTCTCCATCTAAAAAGCACGAAACTACAGCATCTTTTATAACTGAGTCCCTTGACAAGAGATTGGAAGATTCTTGTGCAGCTCAATTGCTTATGACTCAGTCAGAAGGAATCGACCTGAATAATAGAACTAACAGCAGGCACAATCACTTGCTGCCTTCCCAAGAATGTGACAGTACCTATTCTTTCCATATTGAAATAGCTAGAGCAGGAACTCATCCAGTTTCCAAGGAAACTCAAGAATCTTCCTCCAGACTTACAATAGCCAGTAGAAACAGTCCCTCTTCTCCACTAAAAGAATTATCAGGAAAACTAATGAAAAGTATATAACAAGATGCAGTGAATACTTTTACCAAATATATATCTTCAGATGCTGCTAAACCCACACCAATTACAGAAGCAATGAGAAATGACATCATAGATTCTTCTAGGGCAAAGCTTCTTCAGTCCTGACTGTGAGAACGTTGCACTCGTTATGGAGAAAGCGTGATCCTTTTAAGGCTCTGCTCTGGTTCTTAAATGAGCTCATCATACTTTCCTGTGAATACCTGTTGGCTATTTTAGGGTCCATCAGATGGTGCCTCTATTTTCCTTTCTTTCTCCCATGCAGACATCTATAGGTCTCGTGGCTGTTAGTGTATTTTCTCCATCTGTTTGTATTTTAAAGTTTGTGGGATACGATTTCACCAAGTTTTGTTGACAGATGTTGTGAAGGGATTTTGGTCTTTCTATGTAGTTGTTCTGTTTTTAGGTGTGAATTAGTTGCTACCATCTTCCAGACTTCCCAAGGCTGTCTTTTCCTAGTAGTACAGTTGGGGTCTTATAACTGCTTCGAATTTGACTAGTTGAATAATTAATTGGATAGTGATTCCTTTGGGAGTCTGTACTGACTGATAACTAAACTGTCTATGTTTGAGAAGAAAAGGCAGAGAAATACTGAGCCAAATAAAAAATTTTAAAATGAAATGTCACTAAAACTTAAATTAGTTATGTAATCCTAGGAGGAAAAGAAATCTGAAGAATCAGGTTATAGTAACACTTGGTGATCAAGGGATCTGAAAAAATTCCATCTCAGTGTCTATTACGTGTTTCAGTATGTTAATTACCTATATGGCTTAGACAAGTCACTTTTCCTTTAAGCCTCATTCTTCTGAATTTTGTTCTGATATTTTGCCCCCACTTAAGTTTTAATAAAGCCATGCTTCAATTAAAAAAAAAAACACTTAGTTATGTTGAGTTTAGGTTTTTTTGTTTTATTTTGTTGCCATGTTAAGGACTGAACCCAGGGTGTCCTGAGCTATATCCCCAGCTCTTTTTATTTTATTTTGAGACATGGTCTCAGTAAGTTGCCTAAGCTGGCCTCGAGCTTGTGCTTTTCCTGCCTCAGCTTCCCAAGTAGCTGGGATTACTGGTGTGTGCCACCACTGGTATGTTTCAATATTTCTAGTCATAGGCTGTCTCAGTAAAAACCAACTCCATCAACTTCTCAATAAGCTTATGAAAGTCTCCTAAAATGTCACTTGATACAGTATAACATATCATCTATACCATCCCCAATTCTTGGCAGGGCTGGAAGAAATAGTCCCTAATTCTTCTTTGATGAGGTTCTGACGTAGAGGCCCCCAAACACAAGCATGTCAAGACAGATAGGGCGAACACCAGAGGTGTTCCCAGCAGTCAGCAGTGAGGGAAGGAATGACGAATCCTAATCAACTGTCAACTCCACATGTGCTGGATTCTGGGCACACAGCCTCAACAGGGGAAGCCAGAGAACCACACCTTTCTTTAGAAAGGAAACCTACACTTTAACAAAATCTACCCAGGTCTATTTTAGTTCTGAACCCGTGGCAGGAACACCAGGTAGTATAAATAGCAAAACCAAGGTTACAGTTTGACTGATTTCAGTTCTGATGTTAGGAAAGTGGTTATTGGCTAAGTCAATTGTAAAGCAAGGGATCGACAGAAAGCCACAGTGTGAAGACAGTCACAGTGGGTTAGACAGTCAGCGCTCTAACCTTTCCCCTTATTGCCTGAGTCATCAATTCCTGTGACCTCAGTCTGTAAGAAAGCATCTGAGAAATTGGAAAGCAGGTGAAAAGGAGCACTATGGGAGCCGCCTTCGGCAGCCAGAAAGGAAAGTCCCCCAAGAACTGCTCTCCTTTCCCTCCAAGTAGCAGAGGGAAGGGGGGATTCTAGCCAGCACCAGGTCACAGGAAGAAGGCAGGTGAGAACACACCTACCTTTGTTGTGAGACATGGCATACAGGAGGCAGAGCACGAAGAGGGCATGGTAATCATCGTCAGGGCTGTCCAGGGCATGGTACACCATATCCAGGAAGGGTCTGGAAAGAGAAGGGGCATGCTTGAGCTTCTTGGCACAGAGTGAACATTCCCTCCCCTCCCCCAACCACGGGGTGCCAGCTGCTCTTGCCTCTCATGGCTCTGTACTCCAAGGCCCTTCATGTGTGTGGCGCCCAGCATCTGGTACTGGGGACACTAATACAAATAAGAGGTGGGCTCTGCCCATAGAAAGCTGCTATCTATAGGGAAAACTGACCAAGGAACAGGTCACTTAGTCACTTAACAATCATTTACCAGGTGTCCCAGACACCAGGGATCTTTGATGATACAAAGTCCTCGTTCTCTGGCATTCATATGTCATCATGACACAAAGTGATGTGTCACAAGAGAATGAAGAAAACGGGGCACCATAATAGACCAGTAACACCACCCAAGTCACAAACAACAACATGAACAAGCTTAAGGACATGGGCCCCAGAGCCAGACTGTCTGGGTTCACACCCTGATTCTGCCTCCTCTTAGCTGGAAACCCTCAGGACAGTTACTTCTAACCCCCTTTCCCATGGCCCCATTTGTATGACAGGTTAGAACCTGGCAGGGCTACTGTGAAATCTCAAGGGCCAAGGTGAGTGAAGGAGACTTAGCACAGGGGCAGGCACGGTGGAGGGCCAACACCTGGCAGTTGCCATCTGGTTTCTACTTTTAATATTCCAAAGGCACTGCTCCATAATTTCATTTTGGGCCAGCAATTTCTCAGACTGACATTCTCTGATTGCAAGAATTGAGAGCAAGGTCTCTCACCTCTGATGCTCTGTGCATGAGACCTAAAGAGCAGTGGCAAATATGAGAAACCACATATCCCAAATGTTGCCCTTTCCAGGGCCAGGGCCTTGCCTGGAACACTCTTTGACACAAGGATAACACAATATGCACAGATTGGGCCCCAAGGCAGGGAGCTCTGATCCTGTGACTGTTTGTAGCTGCTCCCCTGGATGCCAGGTTGAAGCTAAGAAAGCCGAGCACACCAGTGTGTGATCAAGGGCACATTTAATCCCTGGAAGGGCACACAAGCTATGAACAACACTGGCTGTCCATGCAAAGTGAAACTGGGGATCTGTTCTCTGAATAATCTTTTATATACTTCTCTGAATTTTGAGTTCTGTAAACAAACCATCAATATAAAATATTAAATTGAAAAATTCAAAGAAAGGTAGTGAAAATGTATTTGTCATAACACTCCAAATAAATGCAGAACACACAAAAACTAAAAGAAAATTCTTGAAGGGGACACTGGCATCCAGTCTGTTTCTCTGGAGCCACAGCAGGGCACCCGGCACCTTTCAGATGTGTTCAGAGTTTTGCCACGTGTGGATTTGGCTTTCTGTAAGCTTCCAGTGCTAACTCTTCCAAACTTAAGGGCAAGATAAAGTATGAAGCATTTTCTTGTAAACTAGCTACTTGAAGTTGAGATTATATTTTCATTTGGGAATAATACAAATAACCAAGTATAACAACAGAGGGAACACTGGGAGGGTACAGCCATCTTTTAGAGATTAGATGAACTATTATGGAGTCACTAAGCATTTTGTTTACCAAGAGCATAATAAAGGGGAAAAGATGCTTGGATTTGATATTAGATGAAAAAAAAGAAGGAATAAAAACTGATAGAAATGAGCTAATGGGAAGATGGAAGGTAGAATTCTTAGGAGGCTGTATTGAGAAAAGGTAAGAAAGAATGAAAATGGTAGGTAGCAATGGTTGCCTTGGAATAGTGGAATCATTGAGACTTGTTTCTTCTTTACACTTTTCAAGGTTTTTCACATTTTCTGAATGTGTATCATTATCAAACTTTTTAAAAGAAGCAATGTTTTGAACATTTATAGTTGCTCAAGTTTATACTTAACTCTAAATGCAAATAGAGCCCCTAATGTACAGGGAATATAAAAATAGTTCCATTTTTTATTATGTTGTTTCTTTGGGCAAGTGGATCAGCCAATGCCAAGATGCAATTTAGATCCTAGAGTACAAATAGCCATTCTCCTGTATCCTCGGTGTGCTCCCCTCAGCACTGGGAAGTGGGGGGGACAGAGGGCTGTCACAGTCTCTGACAATCGGTAACCAAGTATCTCTGGAACACAGAGATAGCTCTCCACCTGGGACAGCCTCTTCCCAGGCATGCAGTTTCAAAGTAAGGCAGTGATCTGACCCAGAGCCTGGCAGGCCTCCAGATGGCCTAACTCCAGACACCCAAGACAGTTTCCAATACTAAGTCACATGGTCAAAGATACAGCGGGACTCACCCAAAGTTAGAATCTCAATCAACTCAAAGAAAAACTTTCTCTTCACTAAAATTTGGAAAAAATTACATTTTGGTTTGCTTCTTAAAGAATAAGGGAAATATACAGATATTTTTCTTCTTAGCAAAGCGACAGTACTACTCTACTATATAAAATGTGTTTCATTAATGATTGTTTCCATGTATTAGATCCTAAGAAACTGAACACATCATCATAGAATTCACTTAAAAGTAGCAGCTAATATTCTATTAATCAGATACGCCTGCATTTGCTTAAGCATCTTCCATTGCTAGTTATCTCTGGTTTTTCCCGATTATTCCTACTCTAATGCTGGGCCAGACATCTAAAGGTCGTCCCTACCTTCTGTGCTTAGAATGACTTCCTGAATTTTCAGAGCTTCAGGAGTTACTTTTTTTGTTACACAAAATCAAAAACTGACCGCCCACACCATTCATAGTCCAATGTTTTTATTTAATAAAAACTAAAAATAGCTCTCTTGCATATCTGACAAAAATTAATCCCCTCTATTAGATAACTGAAACATTTGCCAAGCAAGAAGATAAACAAGATGTGGAGACAAAACAGTAATGGGCTTCAGCGGGGTGTGGTGGCATGTGCCTATAATCCCAGCACTCTGGGGGGTGCGGAGGCAGGAGGATCACATATTTGATCCCAGCATGAGCAAGTTAGCAACTTGATGAGATCCTGTCTCAAAATAAAAAAGGGCTTGGGATAGCTTAGTGTGAAGGCCATAGGTTCAATCCCCAGTACCACAAAAATGAATGAATGAATGAATGAATGAATAAAATTAGTAGGCTTCAACTCTTCACTTTCAGATTAATAAACAGAATGAGGGGAGGGGCAGGTTTGTTGCCCACCCTGGTTCAAGAAATGAATGAGCCATAAGCTACTAGAGGAATCAGCTGGGGTCTGCACAGTGGGGCCACTGGATAAGTAAAGTAACAACCGTGTAACCAAGAAGCCCTCCCTAACAGTTCACTAGAAAATTTGGAAGCAGTTGCCTTTTTAGAGCGGGTGGCGCCTCAGCACAGTTCCAGGAGATGTGTGTGCCAAGGTGGAAAAGATGCAGCTTCACAGGCCAAGGCCAAAGGCAGAGAATGCAATAGATCATGCTAGCTGAGCCCTAAGGGCAGCCCTGTGGATGGTAGTAGATGAACAGGTAGCGGAGGCAGAAGATGAACAAGGCAGGAAGACCAAAGCCTGGCTCCAGTGAGGATCCCCCCAGGGGCAGCCTAGGCAAGGCGTGACCCACACCCTTTAGGTGGGGCCCAGCTGCAATGTGCTCCAAGAGGGTGATGTCCTCTGCCAACTGTTCTCTTTCCAAGGAGTGAGCACTAGTGATAGCTCTGTCCCCATTCTCCTTGAAAGGAGCTGCTGTGCCTCTGGGTGGCCAGAGAGTGGAGGAGTCTGGGGAACGAAGGGAAGCAGCATGGTCTGGTTGAGACAGAAAAGGCCATCTGGCTGGCACAAATCAGCACTCAACCTCCTTGCTGATCCCCGCTCCTCCTCTGAGGCCAAGCTCAGCAGGGCCGTGGGCCTACCTGCTCCACTGCAGGCTCTCGGAGCATGTGGCGGCGGCACTCTTCTCCTCGTCCGTAGTGTTCTGCTCCTGCACAGAGGTGCTGGCGGCCAACTCTGAGAGCTTGCTGTGCTCCATGATCACCATCTCAATCTCTGAAATCGAACACAGGGACTGGATGAGCCCAGACAGCTTTATGAACCTTGACTTATAGACATACTCATGTTTGGGAATAAGTACGTATACACTGTTAAGACAGCAAATATTCAACAATGGGTACCCAAACACTGACAATATGCCGGGAAGGAAACAAGACAGGGCCAGAATCTCTCTCTACTTAGCCCAGCAATGCTAAAAAGCATGGCCTTGACTTTGACAACAAAACACAAATTGCAATCATTTATTTTATTTAATGAGTTTTAAGAGTTATTTTACTTTATTGGTACCGTATTTCCTTTTCAAAGAACTTGAGACAGCTTGGAAGACAGAATACGTAATTAAAAAGACATAACCAAATTCACTGAAAGTATTCTGAAGTTCTTTACACTTCAGAAACAGCTTTGACTCACAATTTCTGGAAGGGGCAAGACCAAGACCAGGGGAGCTCAGGAACCTCATCCCATACTCCAGTTAAGTAAGAACAACTTACAGCAACCCACTTGGTGTGCATTTTTGTTTTCAGTATAAGTTAGGAAACACTAAAGAAAAACACCTAGAATTAAAGATGGGAGCTGTGTTTCCAGGTTCCCCTGTCACAGAGTCCCTGGCATGTGGATTAGAACTGGCTCAAGCAGCCCCTGGAATTCGGGGTTCTGGTCACCTCTCCCATCCTGGAGAGAAAATCTAGGGGAGAAACAGTTGATGAAATGATCCCACATTTCCATTTCCAGAGAGATGGTCTGTCATTCTTCCAAAGAGTCCAACATGGCCTCCCTCAGGGTTCCCCAGCACCCGTACAAGGGCCTCCTAACTGGCCTCGGCTTTTTTTCTCTCCCCTTTGTTCTCCACACAAACCTGAGTGATTTTAAATGAAAGTTAGCTCATGCCTCTCTTCTGCTCAAAACTCTCAACACCTTTCCATCATACCCAGGACCACACCCACGGTCTCAAGGCCTCACACAGCCTGGCCCGCCATCCACCTCTGACTTCGCCTCCAGCCCTCTGGGCCTTGCTGTCTCCTCACACTCTGGCTGTGCTGGGCTTCTCAATTGGTGCTCAATGCCCCAAGATTGTTTCTGCCTCAGGATCTTTACACAGCCATTTCCTCTGGCTGGAAGGCTCTTGCTCCAGGTCTTCACTACCCAGGTGTGACTCAGTCCATCCTCCAAGGCTGAGCTCAAATGTCACCTCCTTGAAGACATCTTAGATGACCTCTATACTTATTTTTTTTTTAACCTCTTTTTATTTATTTTTTTGAGACAGGGTCTTGCTATGTAGCCCAGGCCGGCCTCAAACTCACAGTGATTCTCTTGTCTCAGCTCCCAGAATGCTAGATTATAGGCATGGTCTTTACTTCTTTTTAAATGATTATTACTAAATTGCATGCTTTGTTCTTTCCTGATGCCCTTTTTCTGTTCCAGTATCCTCTGTTACATTAAGTCATCAGGTTTAGGATCCTCCAGGCTGTGACAGTTTTCTCAGACTTTCCACTCAGACTGCTCACCTTGGCAGTGTGAGTTCTAGTCAGGGGTCTTGTACTCCGGGTTCGACTAATGTCTTTTCTGACATCAAGGCTGGGGTTCTGGGCCCTGGGGAAGATGACCACAGAGGGAAGTACCCCCCTCACATCACATCATTTGCAGGGCACATACTATCGCATGACTGATGACTGCTGCTGTCACTCTTCAGTGTGTTGCCAAGCTACTATTCACATGGTTTCTCCACTGCCAAGTTACCTTTCCTCTTCCTCTGTGCCTGCTCTGTGGGAGGAAGTCAGTAAGCACAGGTCACACCCAAAGAAGGGAGAGCTGTGTTCTAATCTACACAAATGATTTGAACTTGTTCTACACAAGAGATTCATCCTCTCCTCCCTTCCTTGATTTTACTTTACCATATTTATAACTGCCTGGATTTTCTATTCTCCATTGTTTTGCTTGTTAAATGTCAGCCTTTCTCCACTATGCTGTGGATTCCTAAGAATAGCTGCCTTGTTCCTCCTCCATCTCCAGTGCCTACTGCAGGGCCTGGCACAGAGTAGATGCACGATAAATATCTCCTGAATGGGAAAGTGGATGTCTGTACTAGTCTAGCCCAATGTGGGAAGTTTTGGCAGTAGGCAGGGCTGGCACTGAATCATGGTGGCTGGACATGCCAGGTGGTGTACAGCCCAACACAGTCTGCAATCAATGTGCACACAAAATCTCTCATCAGGAAACATTCTCTCCTGCCATTGTCCCCAGATTCTGTTAGTATGACTGTGCTTGCAGCCAAGCTGACATGGAAGAGTGCACCCCACACACATCCATATGGGACCAAGACTTCTGGGAGGCTCACACTCAGGAGGCCCCTGCTCTCCCCATCTGAAATCCAATGCCATAGACTGGTGGTTCCCATCACACAGGTGGGCGCCAACAGGTGCTTCTTAAGTGGTCTGTGGACAAATGGTCTGTTTCAATGGCTTTATTTTAATGGGCATTAGAAAAAATTCTAGCTGCACAGAGACTTTTGTGCATATTAGTGCTTAGAATGAGGCTAAATTTAAGAAGAAAAAAAGAAGTAAGTCAATTCAAAGAATCCTCCTGAGCATACAGGAGTGCAGGGAGTACATGGACATGGCTGAGCAGGGAGGTGGTGTGACTGTGTTTAGGAGCAGCTCTCTTCCTTTCCTTGTGTGTTCACCCCCACCAGCCTCACCTAGGTGCCCAACCTCCTCCCTGCAGCCTCAAGACCTCCAGAGTGGGGTACAGACACTTCAGTAAGATGGCTATGTGGGTGGTAGGTCTTTTTTTAAAAAAACTATTCTCATCTTTAAAATACCTATTTTGCTTGTTTTATACTGTACATAACATTAGCACATTGATATAAATGTGTATAATTTATAATAAATAAGTGTACACATTCTTGGGAGATGCAGGCTTAAATTCTATATGTACTTGTTTGTATTCATGGATAAAGCATGTCATTAAAGGACATCTGAAGTCTACCTGAAGCAAAACTGACACCAGCTTCCTCCTGGGCTCTAGCATCTGGCCTTTGGCCTCTGCCCAGTGACCACAGGCCCATTTCCATCCCTGCCTGACTGACATGGTGGGGACTCAGCTCCAGGACTTCCCCAGATCACAGCGCCAAGTGCCTGGTCTGGAGGCCAAGACTGCCACAACGTGGCTGTCCCCTTTCCAGCTTTTTAATCTCCCTGGACACCATGAGATTCTGAAGCCGAAGAGAAGTTACAGATAATCCAGTTCAGTGCTTTGATCCAGTTCAGTGTTTAAGTAGCTCCATCTATTTTTATTGTTGTTATTGTTACTTTTATTTGCTAAGGATGAAACTCAGGGCCTTGGACATGTTAGGTAAGTCCTCTACAATTTAGTCACATCCTCAGCCCATCAATATTACCTTGAATGGTAGTTTTGTAGGCAAGTGAGAGCAGGGCTGGTCTAGCATAGACAGCAAATGTCCCCTTCCATAGGGTCCCTCAGGCAGGTCACAGAGGCCTCTTTCTGAAATTCTGGTACGTCACAAAATGATGCCACAAAACCACTGTTTTTTGTTCAGTCCTAGGCATTGTAGCTGAGTAAACAGTGACCCAGAGGTTCGGTGGCTATTAACACAGCTCTAAATGTGGCAGCAAAAACTAGGATAGCTGCTAGAAACATAGCAGGGAAAGTGACGCTAGCCCTTAGCAGCTCATGTCACATCTTGGTGCAGGGCCAGGCCAGCAAGAGCCTCTGCACACAGCGAGGTTTCTAAACCGTGGCTGTGTTACCCTGGTGTCCCAGCTGCATGGCCCTCTACCCCCACCCCCCATACTTAGTTCTCATCTAGCTAGCATGGTAATGGAATGAGCTGTCCTACTCAGATTAATTTTCCAGATGAATGGAGATCAGTTCTTCAAATGTCAGCACAGGTTTCCCCCAGCCTTCTTTTGAATAATTTTATCCAGGCAACTCTTACAGGACTGGCTCTTACTTAGGATCTGCCAACTCCTTAAAACTGTATGTAAAATGCTGCCTGGGCACAGAAATGTGGTGGCTAACAAGTTTTTTGGGGAAAGGGTTTCCTAGATTCTCAATGTTCAGAAATGGACTCTATAGCCATCATTAGAAGAGGATGCTAGCCAGGTGTGGTAGCACGTCCCTATAATCATAGCACTCTGGGAGGCTGAGGCAAGAGAACTGCAAATTTGAGCTCTGCCTGGGCAACTTAGCAAGACTTTGTCTCCAAATTTAAAAAAGGAGGGGGCGCTGGGGAAATAGCTCAGTGTAGAAGTCTTGGGTTCAAGCCCAGTACCACCAAAAAAAAGGGAAGATCTGACTTTTCATGATGATTTGGGGGTCACAGTGAATCCCTTCTCTACACCACACCAGAACATCTGGCATGGTTTGGTACTGGGCCCCCACTTGCAGTGACTCTGTTACCCCTCTCGGTGCAGCTTCCCTCCCAGGGCATATACACCATGCTGCTTCCAACAAGGAAAACAGCTTGGTGGGGTCATGCAGACACAGATTTCTACTGCTGGTCACTGAGTCCAAGTGTCAGGCTCTGGGGATAGAACTTCAGGGGGGCTCTGTCTGAACCTCAATATTTGGTGAGTCTCCATGTCTCCACCAACCAGGTTTCTATCTTGGAGTCTGAGGGACTGCAGCAGTAATTTGGTCTTGTTTTGCTCAAGCTTCAGGCATTTGCTTGCCTCTATGATTTCTGTCAAGCATATTACCTGTGCTATTGATATGTAACCATTTTATCTGAACAACCTTACCATTCTTCCACTCAAATATAATTTAAAAGGAAAGTTTAATCACTATTTTATAACCTTTGACCTAGCAGTCCCACTTGGAGGAATTTGCCTGGAAGACACACCACCAACATATGAACGGGATATTCACGGCACTATTATTTGTAATTCCAAAACACTGGAAACTCCCTAAATGTCCAAGCATAAGAGAACAGTTGAATAAACTGGTATACACACATAACGCAGCTATAAAAGCGAATA